TACTACCAGGTAAATAGAGGTGTGTGGAGTAAGAAAACTTGCCTAAGATTTTGCCCCACCCGGGAATTGAACCCGGGTCCTCTCGCTTGTGGGGAGTGCTCTAATCACTATGTTACAGGCCTCCACTGGGAGGTGGAGAAAGACAGTCCAAGTGACTATTCATGGTTGGTGAGCCTGGACGACGACTGTTGTCAAACCATTGGACATCAAGGCAGACCAGTATTCTATCCTCACCTGGCTTCCATTCAGGCACTGTCCAGGAAGGTCACCAGCTAAGCAAACAGGAGCAGAAATCTTTTTTCCCCTTCATTTTTCCCATGTAGCACTGAAGAGCATGGAAGCCACTTGTATCCCTCCAGTTCCCATTCCAGCTGGGATCACCCAACACCACTCGATCAAACCTGGGACCCTCTAGTCTGGTACCGCCCTGTATGTTTTACCATTGGACAGTATCCCAATTGAACCGCTGTGGAGCATCACTTGCTATTGAAGTAAATAGTACAAAGACTTGAAATCTTAGTATTTGTTTCTCAAAATCACTAACATAATCAGTAAGGTGCCTAGGAGCTTGGCATCATAACTAACAAATAGAGTTCCTAACATCTTCTGAATGAATCTTAATCTAAACACAAATTGATTTCAACAATCCAGCGAGGATGTCTGTCCTGTAGCCATCCTATTTGCCCACAAACAGGTACCAGCCATAGCTAGAATACTGCATTATTCATCATACTTCACTTAACAAAGCTGCACCACTCGTAACAGAGTCCCAATGTCCGAGTACTTGGCAAACAAGGCAACTGCATTAAGGCACATTGTATCTCTAAGCCTTAATTTTCAGGAGAGTAATGAAAAATACAATAAGAGTGCAGAATGACAACATTATTTAAAATCCCAGTGGCCGTTTGAAGTGTTCTTAACCAACCCATGCAACAGACCAGTGAGTAAAGGCAAACCACCACTTAATAATAATAATAATAATCCTTGCATTTGATATAGCTTTTCACGTCGGGAGGACGTCCAAAGTGCTTCACAGTACACACTGTAAAATGAATTGACTGTATATTTGTGGGCGAACGCGGCAACCAATTGCGCACAGCAATGTCCCACAAACAGTCGTAGATTGAAAATGACCAATTTTATTATTGTTTTTGGTTTTGGAGGGATTATTATTAGGCTCTGTGTGGAGTAAGGAAACTTGCCCAAGGTTTCGCCCTCTGCCTGGAATTGAACTCAGGTCTCTCACTTGCAAAGCGAGTGCTCTAACCACTGAGCTACAGGACTCCAGAGTCTTGTTGACACATCAGCAAGCCCTTCAGACTTGAATGAAGTTCTCAGGTTTGATTCCTGCTCTGTGCAGGAATCTGATCTCATGGACTGGCATTTGGTTCCACCATTGTGGGCTGAGGAGAGAAATCATTTTATGAAGGAAGTCAATAAGTAGGTTCCAGCTTCTATTCAATACCCTCCCCCCACACACACACACTGCAACAGTGCATGTGTGTGGAATTTGTGGGAGTGCAGAACTCGTCTTAGCTCTGAAGTTTTCTTCTGTTTTAAATCGTTAATCTTTGAAACTCTTCACGAAAACCATGCTGATAACTCCGACTTGGGTCAGAGTGAGTGGACAGCCTTCCAACAGACAAGTGCATTGTAAATGCACCATTTGTGCATTGTGCTTTTCTACTAATCTAGCAGTGGAAGCTGGGACTTGTTCTTACTCTGAGACGCTCATATTAAACAGAAAGGTGTTTCTTTGCCCCATGAAGCGTGTTCAGGCTAGGAATCTATTCCAAGTCCCAGGAAAGGCAGGATTCTCCGCGCCCTGAGCTTATTGCTGAAGCTGTGGAAAAATCAGGCTTTCAACATGGAATTCTGCCCCCACTTTCCATAGCTTCTTGTGCACTGCATAGTCAGCATGTAAACAATACCAACCTGTAAGAATTTACAACACTTTGAAGACTCAGAATTATTTGGCACTTAGAAGTCAAATATTAATAATAATAATCCTTACATTTGATGTGGCACTTTATCACGTCATTGAGACATCTCAAAGTGCTTCACAGAATATACTGTAAAATTATTGACTATATTTTGTGGGTGAAACATAGCAGCCAATTGCGCACAGCAGTGTCCCACAAACAGCTGTGAATTGAGTGACCAAAGTGTTTTTTTTTATATATTTTTTTGAAGCGGGATTATTACCCCTGGAAAAGCGATGAATGGTGCCGCACTGGTAGCCACACAGTCTAGCTGAGCTGCAGCGCTAGAGACAAGTCAAGAATCTTCTGTACTGTGGTACAGTTGGATATCTGCACAGAACATTGGCAAATGCACCACAGCTTTGCTATGAGCACAGTCTTGCAATTTGCCTGATGCTAATAGTCTATCATCACCTCTTCTCCAGGCAGTTAATGACTCAAAGGAGGTGTGTTTCTACCATTTGTGACCGGTTTGAGCAAGCCTCGGATGCCAAGGTCAACCGCGGGAAAAGCGAGGTGTGTATTTTGGAGGCTGGAAAGAATGCAATCACATATCATTTGCAGCAAAGCCAGACTTACATCAAACTCCTCGGCATCTAGTTTGGGTCTGCCGGGACGTACCAAATAAGCTGTGAGGAGTGTCTAGGTATAATGAGTAAGAAACTGGTGATGTGGCGTCAGCCTCACTGTCCATCACCGGAAAAAACCTGGTAATAAAGTGTGAGACCTTTTTGGGGTTACTGTAAGTGGCCCAGGTCTGGCCTTTGACAAAGGACCAGGTCACTGCCATCACACTGCAGTCTTCCAACTGATCTGGGGGTGCAAGATGGATCGTGTTCACGGGGACACAATGCACAAAACTCCGGAAAAGGGTAGAAAAGGGGTCCCTAACATAGCCGATCCTCATGTCCACCTTTGTGTGTAGCTGCCTGAGGCTGTGCCAGGAGCCCCGCTACACCGGCAACAAATGCCGCTATGTGCTGGGTTTCTACCTGTACCTGGTGCTAAGAAGGGTGGATCTGGCAGAATTGCCTTGAAACGTTCCACACAGTTGGGAGTGTGCTAAACCACCTATCCTATGTTGAGAAATTCCTGAAGAACACCATCCCAGACCCCCGTGCAATAACCGAGTGGTCCGCACGGCAAGTAGTCTAAACAGTTCGAAAGGGGGAGAGGGCAGACCTGATTGGGAGGTACCCTGCTGCAACAGCCAGCTACACCTGGCAAAATGCCTCATCACCAGTGCTGACCAACAACCATCAGGACATGGCCTGGCTGACGATAAAAGGGGCTCCTCCCCCTCAGGGCTTTCATGCACAGTCTAGGTCTGGGCGAGTCAGCACGTTGCCCTCGGGCTGGCTGCAGAGGCTGGGAGACCCGTGGACCACCTCTACCTGGAGTGTTGTTTAGCAAAGGCGGTTAGGAAAAAGATGGAATGGATTCTCTCGCAGTTCGTTATTGGGGACCTGCTGTCATGGCACTCGTTGCTGTGTGGTCTATTCCCGGGCGCTCACAGCAAAACCCACATGGAGTGTGCCTGGAAGAACATAAACTCAGTAAAGGAGGCCCTTTGGATCCCGAAACCAGGTGGTGTTCTAACAGAACGAGGGGACAGTGAGGGCCTGTCTCAGGCTCGCGCACACAAGGATGAGGGACTATATGTTGAGGGACAAGCTGAAGTTTGGCTCAACCACGCAAAGGCCAAATGGGACCTGACCCCGACAGGCGCTGCTCCTGCACAAACCGCTCAGGGCGCACTCACCAGGTAATCCACAACGCACCCAAAGCTATGACTAAAATGAACGTGAGGGTAACCATATATATGTACAGAAGGTGGCTCGAGATGTAAACAAAGCGTGACCCGAAAATCTATGTACGGTAAACATATCTGTGTACAGTACACACCGAGGCGCCTTCCAAAAGCAGCAAATGTGCCTTATCAGGCTGTGTGCAGGCGTGCACATGGATGTAGTGCACACAGGGGCAAATCCCGACTGGTTTAGAGGGAGCGTCCCAAAAATGTGTGGACATCCTGTGTGCGGTGAAGAAATGTAAACAATGGAAAGTTTTGCATTGGGAGAAAGGGAAAATGCAACAGAGGATGTTGTGTTTGTTTTAGATTTCTGTTGCACCAAATATTATATTTATAAATAAATATATTTTAAAAAAGTGTGTTTCTATAATCTGGCTGCAGTCATCATGTGAACGCTTCACAATTGGTGAGCACCAGGCTTCTTTGTGTTGGGGGAGGAGAAAAAGTATCTCAACTCAGCTCACTCCTCACATACACACACACAACAGGGGTCATCAGTCGACAACTGGGGGACAGCAAAATAAATTAATAATAATAATTCTTGCATTTGATATAGAGCCTTATTATGTAGTTGAGACATAATAATAATAATAATCCTTGCATTTGATATAGCGCTTTTCACGTCGGGAGGACGTCCCAAAGTGCTTCACAGAACACACTGTAAAGTGAATTGACTGTATATTTGTGGGCGAACGCGGCAGCCAATTGCGCACAGCAATGTCCCACAAACAGTCGTAGATTGAAAATGACCAATTTATTATTGTTTTTGGTTTTGGAGGGATTATTATTAGGCTCTGTGTGGAGTAAGGAAACTTGCCCAAGGTTTCGCCCTCTGCCTGGAATTGAACTCAGGTCTCTCGCTTGCAAAGCGAGTGCTCTAACCACTGAGCTACAGGACTCCAAAAGGACTCCAAAACATCTCAAAGTACTTCACGGAATATACTGTAAAGTGAATTGACTGTATATTTTTGTGGGTGAAACAGCAGCTAATTGCGCACAGGAGTGTCCCGCAAACAGTGGTGGTTTGAGCGATCAAATTAATATTATTTTTTTGAAGGGATTATTGTCTCCGGAAAGCGATCTGCTAATCGACTAACAACCGGGTTCCTACTTACTGCTAGGGAAACAGGCGTGTGGAGTAAGGAAACCTGCCTAAGGTTTCTTAGGCAAAAACAGTAAAAATTAAATTGACGACGACTTCAGAATCCAGCAGGTCAGCATTTAACAAGAGCATCATTCGAGAGGGGATCAGCCTTTGCTTTTACAACCACCTACTGAATAACAGAAATTGTAAACTAAAAGCATGGATGCCCAGCGCACAGTCCCACATTTCCATGACCGCCTCGGCACTCACAGTTCGGTTTTGATCTTATGTACCAAGTCTTTCTGGTTGATCTTGTCGAGGTGTTGATTCCAGCGATTATACACCAACAAAGCCACGTTCTTGGCAGCAATCGAGCTGGTCTCCATGGCGCTGGCCATCCACTCTATCCCATTCAAGTAGTAGAGGCTATCGTGCAGAATGATGCCAGGAATCTCCTTGGTCGAGTGATACTGTGGGTATGCTAGCCACTCAGTCACCTGGACAGAGTAGTAGGAACGAAAGAGCGTCTTCAGCTGTTCTTGGTGAGTGGGTTGGGTGAGAAGACCTTCCACACGGCTGCCTCTTGGGGTTGTTTCCTCCTGTAATGGTTTGTGATGTTCACTGGGCAGATGTTGGCGATGCTGTACATGAAAAGCTTTGGGCTGTCTGTAGTGAAAATGGAGGCGAATGGGAAAAGTTTGGGATCCGGGAAGCCAAAATAGGAGGAATTGAGGTAGCCATGAACGATGGACGTGATGGTCTGGTGATAGCGACCAGGGAACTCGGTGACCGGTGGAATGAGCTCGTCAAAGGTGATGTTTCCCAATCCCTGATGCAACGGGGTTGCAATAAGTACAATGTCATAGAAATCATATCCTCGCTCCTCTTCATTCTCATACCTCACTTGATATAGTGGCTTAGCTCCTGCAGAGGATCAGCAGACATAATGATAATATAATAACCTTTCACATCAGGATGTCTCAAAGTACTTCAGAGGATTATACTGTAAAGTGTAATGAATGTCTTTTGTGGTCAAATACATCAGCTAATTCATACAAACAGCCATGAAGTGAACAACCAATTTTATTTGGGGGGTTGTTGGCCAGGACACCAGGAGAAACTCCCTTGGCTTTTCAAATAGTGCTGTGCAATCTTTAACTTCTATTTGAACAGGTATATGGGACCTCGGTTTAATGTCTCACCCGAAGGATGGTACCTCTGACAATGGAGCTCACCCGCAGCGGTGCATTGAAGTATAAGTATTGAATATAAAGTCCCGATGTGGGACTTGAACTCACTACCTTTTGAATCAGAGATGAGAGTGCTACCCGACTGACACTTCACATTAGGTGTTGAACACTAGAGGAATAAAATACATTTGGTTTAAATGAGGTTTGTTTACCTGAGCTCTGCAGGGAGATGGAGGCCACTCTAGTGTGGATAACATGTGCTTTTGCTGCATCCAGTAAACTGGAACACACAACCTTATTGCCTCCTTCCACCGCCCACAGCCCAGCCTGGGCACCAGCCAGGGACACTGCTCCTGTACACACACACAAACACACAGAAAACTTAACAATGTCAGGAAATAAAACTTACTGTCAGGGTCACTCCCTCTCATTTTATATTTAATAATAATAATAATCCTTGCATTTGATATAACGCTTTTCACGTCGGAAGGACGTCCCAAAGCGCTTCACAGAACACACTGTAAAGTGAATTGACTGTATATTTGTGGGCGAACGCGGCTGCCAATTGCGCACAGCAATGTCCCACAAACAGTCGTAGATTGAAAATTACCAATTTATTATTGTTTTTGGTTTTGGAGGGATTATTATTAGGAGTAAGGAAACTTGCCCAAGGTTTCGCCCTGCCTGGAATTGAACTCGCAAAGCGAGTGCTCTAACCACTGAGCTACAGGACTCCGATATATATTTATATATTTATTGTAATATTTTAATCCTAGGTTATCCTTTATAGTAATTCAAAGATAATAATTTGGTCACTCAACCCAAAACTGTTTGTGCACAATTGCCTGCCACGTTTCACCCACAAGATATACAGTCAGTTCACTGTGAAGTACTTTGAGACGTCTTGAAGAGTTGATGAGGCGCTATATCAAATGCAAGGATTATTATTAAATATTACAAATCAAGAAAAAAAACACCCAAAGTTTGAATGAACATTGTTTAGTATTGAAGGACTTAACTCCGAGAAAAATTTAACACAAGTTTACAACTAAAATCAACCCGATTCCAGACAAAGTTGTTATCGAGCCGGATACACAGGGTCAGAATTTCCTCTTGGGGAATCCACTTTCTTGCTCGGCATTCTGTACTTGTGGGTTTGACCTGCACATGTTGGTGATTGAACAAGAGGGGAAATAACAGCCAGGCCCGATCTCACCACATCTCGCCAATCTCGCCACTTAACAGACACATCCACCGTGGGTCAGTGGAGGGCAATCAGGAATGGGAACTGTTCTGTAGATTGGGGCGGGGGGGATGAGGGTGGAAGTCATACAGAAGCTCGTCAGAGCCAACTCTTCCCTCCTCCCCCAGACACACTCACTCAGCGCAGACAAGGGAGCAAATCTGTTCCCTTCAACAACAACAACAACAAGATTCCATTGATGGAGCGCCTTTCACGTTGGGAGGGTTTTCAGTTTTCACCTCAGCAAAACCAGGACACTTGAGGGTAGTCATGCGGCATTAACAAGTTAGTTCATGGAGGATTTGAGACACCAGACTAGACCTGGAGCTTTAACAGGGTGCTGACTATGGGGATCATCAGGACTGTGTGTGAAACACAGGAAGTGTAACCAATGACAACTTTAGTCGTTGCAAAGTACAAGCAGCAGTGCCACCGAGCAGTGCACCTAACAATCCTAACCAGACAGCTCAGCAAACTGCAGCCTGGCAAAGTTCTGACAGAGTTTGTGCTGAGAGTAGGGAGGGCGTGAGCACGTTCACGTGAGCACATTCACAGGCACTCTGGGACGCTACCCTGCGTGAGGAGCGCTATATAAATGCAAGTTGTTGTTGTTGCTGCTGAGTGTCACTATTTGACATTAAGCAAAGGACAAATTTTTACCATTGCTTTGCTACACTACCCGCCCATCAACCCGAAAAAATCACTGCACCCAAATATTATTAATAATAATAAACCTAGCATTTGATATAGTGCCTTATGGAGTTCTATAGCTCAGTGGTTAGAACTCGCCTTGCAAGCAAGAGACCTGGGTTCGAGTCTCAGTAGGGCGAAATGTTGGGCAAGTTCCTTATTCCTCACGCCTCTGTTTACCTAGCAGTAAGTAGGATTGCCAGTCGATTGGCGGATCGCTTTTCCGGGGGGTAATAATACCTTCAAAAAAAAATAATAAATTGGTCACTTCAATCCACGCTATTTGTGGGACACTCCTGTGTATAATTGGCTGCCGCATTTCACCCACAAAATATACAGTCAAATTCACTTTACAGTATATTCTATGAAGTGCTTTGAGATGTCTCGAAGACATGATAAAACGCTATATCAAATGCAAGGATTATTATTATTAACATTATTATCACATCAATGACTGTGTATTTTGTGGGTGAAACACGGCAGCCAATTGTGCACAAACAGTCATGGATTAAGTGACCATTCAGGCATTAAGATATAGAAGAATGATATAGAAATTATTCTGCATGTCGTGGTAATGATCCCTCCAATTAATAAATAAATTTGTTCACTCAGTTCATGGCTGTTCGTGGGACACTGTTGTGTGCTATTGGCTGCCGCTTTTCACCCACAGAATACACAGTCAATCCACTTTACAATAGATTCTGCCTTCTACATCTCAACAACTTTATAAGGCTCTCTATCAAATGCAAGGATTATTATTATTATGATTATTATAAGAATCAATTTATCTGAAGGATTTGTGGCCAGGACACAAACAAAGGCCTCTCAAATTAAGCCCTCACCATCCACGACCTCATCCTGGTCGAGCACCTTGACATTCTTGGACTCACCGAAACCTGGCTCTTCCCCAATGACCCCGTCCCCCTAGTGGAAGCCTCCCCTCCAGGCTACACCTTCCACCAACCCCCATCCAAACCAACATGGTGGCAGGGTGGCCCTCATTTCCAAAGCCTCTCTTGGTCTCACCCCCTACTCCTCTGGCTGCTTCCCCTCCTTCGAGCACCTCACCCTCTTCCACCCCTCCCTCCATTTGAAAATCCTCCTCGTCTACCGCCCCCTAAGCCCCCCGGCTCCTTCCACACAGACATCTCTACCCTCCTCTCTTCCCTGTCCCTAATGGGCAATTTCAACCTCCACCTAAACTCCTCTTGCACCACTTCTGCCGATTTCACTGCCATCCTCTCCTCCCTAAACCTTACTCTCCATATAAACTCACCCACCCACAACCATGGTCATGCACTTGACCTCATCATCACCCAACGGCCTTGACATTTCCGACCTCAGCATAGTGGACAAGGCCACCTCGGACCACATCCTCATCTCCTTCTCCTCTCACATCCCTCTCTCCTCAACCAAGCCCTCAACCATTCTCTACCGCCCTTGGAAAAGGCTACCCCCTGAGACCCTCACAAAGGCCCTCTCATCATCAAATATCCTATCCCTCTGGCATTCCACCCAGTCCAGCTGCTCCATGATCGCCTCTCCTCCACCTTCAACTCCCTCGTGCCCCTGAAATCCAGGACCGTCTCCAAACCCACCTGATCCCCCCGGTACAACAACAATCTCCGCCGCCAAAACACCCAAACCTGTCTGCTCGAACGCAGATGGCGGAAACTGGCCTGACAGTTCACCACCAACTGTGGCTCAAGCATCTCCACAGCTACCGCCGTTCTTTGACTCGTGCAAAAACAGCCTTCTACTCCAACATCATCTTGAAGGCTAAACACAACCCAAAAATCCTTTTTTCTACCACCCACTACCTCCTCCGTGCCCCCCCCTCAGGCCTCCTCAAACTTCGCATCAAATGCCAAGTGCGAGGAGGTCATGGACTTCTTTTCTTTTAAAAAACTTAACATCCGCCAGGCAGCCTCATCCTCCTGCCTCTTGTCACCCACCACCATGCCCTCTCTGTCCCCCTCACCTTCCTCATCATCTGCTCCTACCACCACCCCCATTCTACATTCCTTCCTCCCCATCTCTTCCTCCTCCCTCTCACCCACCATCACCTCCATGAAACCCACCACCTGCTGCCTCGACCCCCTCCCCACCAACTTACTGGTCACTCAGCTCCCACTCCTCTGCCCACTACTGGCTGATATCATCAACCAATCCCTCTCCTCCGGATCAGTCCCTGCCTCCCTCAAAACTGCTGTTATCACCCCCCTCCTCAAAAAATCCCTCCCTAGATCCCTCAAACCCCAGCCACTACCGCCCCATTTCTAACCTGCCCTTCCTCTCAAAAGTTCTAGATCACGTCGTTGCCAACCAACTTCGCGCACACCTCTCCTCCCACTCCCTCTTCGAACCCCTCCAGTCCGGTTTCCGCCCACAGTACAGAGACTGCGTTTGTGAAAGTCACAAACGACATGCTCTCTATCTGTGACCAGGGCTCCCTCTGCCTCCTTGTCCTCCTTGGACCTCTCCACCGCGTTCGACACAGTCGATCACTCCATCCTCCTCCACCACCTTTCCTCCGTCATCCACCTCAGTGGGACAGCACTCACCTGGCTCGAGTCCTACCTCACAAACCGCCAGCATTACATTTCTGCAAATGACTTTTCTTCTCGCTTCCACCCGGTCACCTGCGGGGTACCCCAAGGATCCATCCTTGGCCCCCTCCTCTTTCTGATCTACATGCTCCCTCTCGGGGATGTCATCCGTAGACATTGGGGTACATTTCCACATAATAATAATAATAATAATCCTTGCATTTGATATAGCGCTTTTGTATGCAGATGACACCCAACTCTATTTTTCCACCTCTCTTTGCGACCCCCAGTACCCTGATGTTCTGTCAGCTGCCTGTCAGATCTCAGGGGCTGGATAAGCGCAAACTTCCTTCAGCTGAACATTGACAAGACGGAAGCCATACACTTCGGCTCTCGTCAATGCCTAAATTCTCACAATTCTCACCTCCTCCACCTACCCGACCTCCCCCTAAAACGTTCCAAACCTGTACACAACCTAGGCGTCAGGTTTGACCCCCAATTATTCTTTCTCCCCCACATCCGGTCCCTCACCAACACCGCCTTCTACCACCTCCGACGCATTGCCCGTCTCCGCCAATACCTCTCCCCAAAAGCCGTTGAAACCCTGGTCCATGCCTTTGTCACCCCTTGGCTGGACTCTCTAACGCCCTCCTTGTCGGTCTCGCATCCACTACCATCCATAAAATCCAAATCATTCAAAACTCTGCCGCCCACATTCTCACCCGCACCAAACTCCGCTCACCGATCACCCCAGTCCTTGCCAGACTGCACTGGCTGCCTAACCCAGAGAGGATCGATTTCAAGATCCTCACCCTTGTATTCAAGTCCCTGCACTCCTCTGCACCCCCTACCTCTCTGACCTCCTCTCTCCTCAAAACAGTACCCGTTGCCTTCGTTCCTCCGGGTCTGGCCTCCTCCTCGTCCCGAGTCCTCCGCTCCACCCTCGGTGGCCATGCCTTTAGCCACTATGTCCCGAGGCTCTGGAACTCCCTTCCCCACTCCCTTCGTCTCACTCCCTCCTTTCCCATTTTCAGGTCTCTGCTGAAGACCTTTCTTTTCGATGGTGCCTTTGGTTACCTTCCTCCCCATCCCCCTGGCTCGGTCCTGGGATCCGTTACTGTAAAGCGCTCTGAGACGCCGTCCGGTGTGGAGGGCGCTATATAAATCCAAGTTGTTGTTGTTGTTGGGAGGAGTTTAACTCCTTGTGAATAGTTTCACAGAATCACAACATCCACCTAAACAGATGAACGGATTAGGCATGGAATGAGGGATACATACCAACAAAGGCAGGAATGGAGGCTGATTGGCCGTAGTTCACCCTCATGACCGCTGTCACTATTTCGTCGATAAAGCGCTGCGAGACCCCCAGTTCCAGCAGGGTCTCGGACACTGACTTGCGGGTCATGTTAATGAAACTCTGCCCTCCCAGCGACTGCAGCATCTCCTCCACTGTACTGAATGCGTAGCCGTGAGCCTGGTACTTGTAGATCCTGTCACACAACAACATCGCCGAATTATACACATCCCAATCCTCATTATCCAGAGAGAGAGGAAAAACAGAGTATTGCTCCCCTTAAACTGCCAATCATTAAAGAATCTATTTACAAAACCAACTTGCCTTTATACAGCATCCTTCACGCAGGGTAGAGTCTCGGAGCGCTTAACACCGATAGAGCCTGACGCCAAGTCACAAAGAGAGGGGAAGTGACAGTAGGCACAGTCGAAGAGGAAGATCTTCAGGTGCAATGTGAAGATGGACAAGGAGGAGGAGAAGCGGAAGGATTGAGGCAGGGAGTGATAGAGACTTGGGCGCAATGGCTGAAAGCAAGGCTGCTGATGATGGAGCATAGGGGATGAGGGATATGCAGGAGGCCGGAGCCAGCTGAGCAAAGGGGTGTGGGGTAATTATTTAGTGTAAAATAACCACAGCTTTGGTTTTCTGAATATTCAGATGAGCCCCCAAAATATATTATAGAAGATATGGATTGTATTATCCCAACATCAAGAATACAACACAAATTTACATTTTTGCAGTGCCTTTCAAGTTGGGAGGACGTCCCACAATGAACTTAACAATCCTGGCTGGCACCAGAACTGGGGGTGGGAGCTGGGGGAGGGGATAGATGACCAAAAGCGCGGTCAAAAAGATAGCTCTTGAGGTAGACTTATAGGCACCATCTGGAAATCAACCAACCATCCAACCCTAGCCACCCACCCCCAGCCTCTGAGTTATGAGCAGTGCAATACCTCATGAATTTCTCCAGCACCTCCTCCACCCACATCTGCAGCCGCAGTAATCCAAAGCCATAACGCCACCACAGTCTGAACAGGTCCAGGAGGTACCAGTCAGTCTCCTCAAACACAAATTGATCCCCGCCGAACACTGCAACCTTCTCCGGGACGTTTTTCCTGTGCTTCAGACCTCAAAAAGATACAGAGAGAATTACTAAAGGAATATTAATATTAATAATAATAATAGTACTGCAAAATGGAGAGAGTGGGCAGTTGGTTGAACAGCACCATGGGATCATTAACATCCACCTGAATTAATAGATGGAACCTCAGTTTAACATCTCATCTGAAGTATAGCATCTCCAACAATGCTGCATACTGACATGCGCCTTGAACTCACAACCTTTTCACTCGGGAGGCAAGAGTGCTTACCCGCTGAGCCAGGCTGTCTGAAAGATTATATTCAAGACGCTTAATGTTTTTAAGGTTTTTGTTAATTAATCTTTATATACCTTTTAAAATGTAACCAAACATTTATAATCCTTTCAGTATAGCTGACTAGGGCATGTGTTTTAATGGCTAGCCTAGAGCTCATGAGAAAGTTGTGATAATCAGCGATAGCAGTCTTCTCCTCCCTGTTCCTGGGTACATTTGCTAATTAGCGTCAGCGAACCTAAAGAAATATTGGCTTGACCCGGCTGAGGTCAGTTTCTGATAAAGTTCCATTTTTTCCTGGGAAGATGTTCACTCCTCCAAGATTGGAGTAATCATGTCCTTGAGCACAGATGTGGAAACAAAGGGTCTCAGAAAGGAGATGCATTCTTCAGACACCTGCTTATCTCAAGGCTGAGAAAAAGGCAGGCTGCAGAAGCCTCCCTAAAGTTTGTCCCTCTCTCTCTCTACAAAACAACTCAAGGTCACTGGCAGCTTGAGAAGGAAGGGGGTTGCAACTTTTCTCAGAAGAAAAACTAGAGGCAAAGGCAGGGAAACTGGGAATTTGTTACAAGGGGACGTGGAGTTAAAAACACTTAATAATAATCCTTGTATTTGATATAGCACTTTTCACGTCTTCTAGATGTCTGAAAGCGCTTCACAGAATAGACTGTAAAGTGAATTGACTGTATATTTGTGGGTGAAATGCAGCAGCCAATTGTGCACAGCAATGTCCCACAAACAGTCGTGGATTGAAATGACCCATTTATTATTGTTTTTTTTTGAGAGTTTATTATCAGGCGTGTGGAGTCAGGAAATAAACTCTGTTTATTTAGCAGTAATTAGGAATCCGGTTGTTAATCAATTGGATCACTTTTTCAGGGGTAACAATAATCCCTTCAAAAAAATTCTAATAATAAAAATGTGGTCACTTGCATATCAAATGCAAATATTATTATTATTATGTGACCTTACCTAACTGGTTGACGAACTCTTGCATGTGCAGGTTGAGGGGGTGAATGATGGAGCCCCCAGTCTCATACTGCTGACCATTGACAGTGGCCGTTGCCAGGCGGCCTCCCACTTCGTGCTTCTCGTATACGTCGATCTTCACGTCATGACCAAATTCACGTCTCAGGAAATAGGCAGCTGCTGACCCGCTGATCCCTGCACCCACCACGGCTTAGAAGGACAGAGAGAGATCTGATGGCTAATTGGACTACAGCTGTTCATGATCTATATAGATGACCTAGATGTGGTTATAGGCAGTAAAATGTCTAAGTTTGCAGATGATACTAAGCTAGGAAAAGTGGTAAACAATGAGGAGGACGGAATCAGACTGCAAGAGGACATAGACAGACTGGTAACATGGGCAGACACGGGGCAGATAAAGTTTAATGTGGACAAATGCGAAGTGATGCATTTTGGGAGGAGGAATGAGGAGAGGCCATATACGCCGATGGTACAATCTTAAAGGGGTGAAGGAACAGAGAGACCTGGGGGTTCATATAAGTAAATCTTTGAAGGTGGCAGGAAAGGTACATAAAGCTGTTAAAAAAGCGTACGGGATACGAGGCTTTATAAATAGGGGCATAGGATGCAAAAGTCAGGAAGTTATGATGAACCTTTACGAAACACTGGTTAGGCCTCAGCGAGAGACTGTGTTCAGTTCTGGGCACCGCACTTTAGGAAGGATGTCAAGGCATTGGAGAGGGTGCAACAGAGATTTACCAGGATGGTACCAGGAATGAGGGACTTCAGTTATCAGGAGAGGGTAGAGAAGCTCGGGTTATTCTTCTTGGAGCAGAGAAGGTTAAGAGGAGACTTAATAGAAGTTTTCAAAATGATCAGGGGATTCAATAGGGTGAACAAGGAGAAACTATTTCCACTGGCAGGTGGGTCAGTAACCTGAGGACATCGATTTAAAATAGTTGTTAATAGAAAGGGGAGGTGAGGAGAATTTTTTTTCACACAGTGAGTTGTTTGGATCTGGAATTGCCTGAAAGTGTGGTGGAAGCCAATTCGCTAACAACTTTTAAGAGAATATAGATAATTATTTTTGGAGGACAAGTTTGCAGGGCTATGGGAGAGCGGGGGGGAGTGATTTGGAGAGCTTGTTTCAAAGAACCGGCACAGACACAATGGGCTTAATAGTCTGTCTCCTTCTGTACTGTATAATTCTATGATTCTATGATATACATGCACAGCCCTTAACAAATCTTTCCTGCAGCCCCTTAGTCCCACTTGCTAACTTTACTGCCCTGCCCCGGTGACTGGCCTCTGAGTAACAGGGCATAGGAGTGAGTCACTCTTTCAGTGAACAAAGTGAAGCGTTATAGGAAGCAAAGAAAACACAAATTCTTAATGAAAGAAATCCATCAAGGAATGTATTAAAGGCAGCTCGGACCTATAGTTGCATTTGCAATGCCTTATCATGTCTTTGAGATGTCTGTCTGTCTCAAAGCACTTCACAGAATATGCTATAAAGTGATTGTATATTTTGTGGGTGAACTAAATCACATCCAAACCAATAAAACAATGCATCATCTTTTATGCAAATACTTTGCTGTATGATTGATTTCTACCTCCTGCTACCAAAAGAGTAGTACTGCATCTTTTGATCAAATGACACGATTAATGAGCACAGGTCATGCTATCAGTGGAAGGATTATTATTATTATTATTATATTTTTGGAATTTTAAAAACGCACATGAATCATTGCATTTGCAAAATACAGTATTGTGGGCCCCAACATGTACTGCCGCCCCGTGTCCGCGGCCCTTGGCGTAAAGGCACCGAGTGAGTGAGTGCGAGTGAGTGAGTGTGAGTGTGTGTGTGGAGTGAGAGTGTGACCGAGTCCCACACAGTTACCTATTTTCCGGGGCGGCGCTGCTTCCTGCGGATCAGTCAGTGAGAGGACAAACAGCAGCAGCGGCGGCAGCGGCAGCGCGGGGCCCACAGCCATGTCACACCGGAGCGGACACACAGTCACCGCGGGGCGGGGCCGCGGCACAGAGAGAGGCCGCGGGGACTCCGGGATCGCGGCGGCGGCGGCGCTTTGTGTCAATTTGTGAGTAAATCTCCGGGTTCCGCCCGAGAGGTCACAGCGCGGGTCAGTGCCTCGGAAATCCCGGAACCGGAATTCAATCCGGATTCCTCGGTTTCCCCTAAGTGTGACCTGAGTGACTGACACTGAGTGACTTGACAGACACTGAGTGACTGACTGACACTGAGTGACTGACACTGACTGACCTACTCCCTCCCTCCCCCACTCACTCACTCCCCGCTCTCTCGTTGGTTGTTTTGGTTGGGAAATGCCGCGAGTTCCGGTCTTTCCCAAACCTCTTATTCTTCCCTTTCCATCACCTGCCGCTCCAGTGATCCTGATCCAGGTTTTGATGACGGCCGCTCCATCCGCCCCAGACTCCCTGACAGGGAGCAGAGCCCCGCCCCCCCACAGCCCCGCCCCCAGCCCCGCCCACAGCCCCGCCCACAGCCCCCCCACAGCCCCGCCCACAGCCCCCCAGCCCCGCCCCAGCCCCGCCCACAGCCCCCCACAGCCCCGCCCACAGCCCCCCCACAGCCCCCCCAGCCCCGCCCACAGCCCCGCCCACAGCCCCCCCACAGCCCCCCACAGCCCCCCACAGCCCCGCCCACAGCCCCCCACAGCCCCCCCACAGCCCCCCACAGCCCCCCACAGCCCCCCCACAGCCCCGCCCACAGCCCCCACAGCCCCCCACAGCCCCGCCTTGAAAGAACAATCATAGAATTGGACAGCCGTCCAGCGTGGAGGGCACTATATAAATCCAAGTTAAATTTGTTGTACAGCACAAAAAGAGGCCATTCGGCCCATCGAGTCTGTGCCGACTCTTTAAAAAGAGCAATGTAATGTCAATCCCACTCCCCAGCCCTTTCCCCATAACCCTGCAGACCCGTCCTCCTCAAATACCCGTCCACCACGTTTTTAAAAGTAGTTATCGAATCGGCCTCGACCACCCTTTCAGGCAATGTGTTCCAGATTCGAACAACTCGCTGTGTGAAAAAATTTCTTCTCACTTCCCCTCTACTTCATTTAGAGACTATTTTGAATCTGTGACCTCAAGTCACCAACACACCCACCAGTGGAAACAATTTTTCCCTTTCTAACCTATCAAATTCCCTCATGATTTTGAAGACCTCTATTAGGTCTCCTAATAGAGACCTTCTCTGCTCCAATGAGAATAATCCTCGCCTCACTTGCCTTTCCTCATAATCAAGGTCCCTCATTCCTGGTACCATCCTCGTAAATCTCCTCTGCACCCTTTCCAATGCCTTAACATCCTTCCTATAGTGTGGTGCCCAGAACTGGGCACAGTATTCTAACTGAGGCCTAACCAGTGTTTTATATAGGTTAATCATAACCTCCTGACTCTTGTACTCTATGCCCCTATTTATAAAGCCTAGTATCCCATATGCCCTTTTTACAGCTATATCTACCTGTCCTGCCACCTTCAAGGATTCATTTACCTGCACCCCCAGGTCTCTCTGTTCTTTCACCCCCCTTAAGATTGTATTACCAGCCTATATTGCCTCCCCTCATTCGTTCTACCAAAATGCATTACCTCGCATTTCTCCACATTGAAACTCATCAGCCATGTGTCTGCCCATTTTACCATTCTGTCTATGTCTTCCTACAGTTGGCTCCTATCCTTCTCACTGTTTACCACCCTACCTAACTTTGTGTCATCCGCAAACTTGGAAATGGTACTTGCTATACCCAAATCATTTATCTATATTAAGAAGATCAGTGGTCCTAATACCGATCCCTGGGGGACGCCACTGTACACTTCCCTCCAGTCAGAAAAGCAGCCGTTCACCACAACTCTCTGCTTTCTGTCTCCCAGCCCGTTCTGGATCCATACTACCACTGTCCCTTTTATACCATGCGCTTCTATCTTTCTTACAAGTCTTTTATGTGGCACTTTGTCAAATGCCTTTTGAAAGTCCATATAAACTACATCAACTGCACTACCTTTATCCACCCTCTCCGTAACCTCATCGAAAAATTATATTAGATTTGTTAGGCAAGATTTGCCTTTAACAAATCCATGCTGGCTGTCCCTAATTAACCCATATTCTTCTAAGTGAAGATTTATTCTGTCCTGGATTATAGTCTCCAGGAGTTTCCCCACTACTGATGGTAGGCCGACTGGCCTGTAGTTCCCAGGTTTATCCTTCTGTCCCTTTTTGTACAGGGGAGTCACATTGGCCACTCTCCAGTCCTCTGGCACCACTCCTGTATCCAACGAAAATTGAAAAATTGTAGCCAAAGCCTCCGCTATTTGTACACGTGCCACCCAAAATATGGATTCATAAAGGGGAGGTCTTGCTTATCTAATTTACTAGTTTTCTTTGAGGGTGTGACAAGGGAGCTTGATAAGGGTAAGGCTGTAGATGTTGTATATCTGGATTTCACAAAGGCCCTTGATACAGTTCCTCTTGAGAGACTGGTACTGAAAGTGAAGAAAGCGGGAATCAGTGGAGGTATTTTACAATGGATACGCAACTGGTTGACCAGAAGAACCCAGAGGGTGGTGGTACAGGGAATGTCATCAGGTGGCTATGTTTGCAGATGACACCAAGCTAATGAAGGTGGTAGATTGCGAAGCTGAACAACATAATATACAGGAGGATTTGAATATACTTGGGAATTGGGCAGATTGGTGGTAAATGAAATTCAATGTGGAGAAATGTAATGTACTTCACATGGGGACAAAAAAATCCTGGAAGGAACTATTTGAATGGAAGGAAAATAATGTGTATGGAGAATGAAAAGGATCTGGAGGTCCTGATTGACAATAAATTGAAGCTCTCCCAACAATGCTCTGTGTCAGTGAGTAAAGCAAACCAGATGTTGGGATGTATCAAAAGATTAATAGCAAACCAAAATAGTGGGGTAATCCTGTCACTGTATAAATCATTGATGAGACCACACCATTTTGCTGCTGTACAAAAAGGATAGTAGAGAAATTGAGAAGATACAGAAGAGGGCAACCAAAATGATTGAGGCAGTGGAAGGACTGGACTATGAGGAGCAACTAAGTAAATTGGGCATGTTCACACTGGAAAAGAGAAGACCGAGAGGCGACATGATTGCTATCTTTAAGATTCTAAAGGGGCTAGACAATATAGATCATGACAGGCTGCTTCAACGTGTCCAGAATAGTAAAACCATAGGACACAGCCTACGAATGAGGGGGTAAATTCAGAACGAATTCAGAACTATTTCAGTAAGTTAACAGTGAACCTGTGGAACAGGCTCCCCAGAGAGATGGTTGAAGCAGGAAGTGTTGATTCTTTTAAACACAGATTAGATAGTTTCCTTTTAAGAAATAACATTATGGGATATAGTACATAGGAAGTTTGGGACTGCCAGGAAGGTGGAAGGTGAACTAGATGGACCTTGGTCTTTTTTCATCTAGCATTTCTTATGTTCTTATGTTGTTATGTTAGGTAAGGGTATCAAGGGATATGGAGCAAAGGTTGAATTGAGTTGCCAATCAGCCATGATCTTATAGTGCAGAAACTTATCACCTTGTTTATGAGTCTCCAAACCAGATTGAGAATTTCATATAGTAAGCCGCCTACACATGAAAATTCTTGTACCCGGAATGGAACATGCACTCTCTCCCTGGAAGGACAACAATAATAACAACTTGCTTGAATATAGCATCCTTCACATAGCATAGCATTTCGGGACGCACCCTGCCTACCTAATTATGAGGGTATTAGGCATAGGTTGGCACGAGCCAAGGCTTGGTTGGGAACCCCAGTGTGTGCTTTGAGTTACTGCTGGAGATTAACCAGCTAAAACTACATGGCTTTTTCCATTGAAAACATTGTCTGGTGGCTTCACTTTACTTGGTGTGACAGCCTGGCTCAGTTGGTAGCACCTTGACCAAAAATTCCGCCAATTAAACAAATTGGTTATTCACTTCACAGCTGTTTCTGGGATATTACTGTGCGTATGTTAGCAGCTGTATTTGCAATATATAAAATAAACATGATCCGACCTGCAAGTTTCTTCCCTTTTGTATATAGATCTTTGATTGGCCGACTTTGCCACTGTATCTCACCGCAGGCCACTGAGACCCTCTTCCACGCGTTCATCACATCCAGGCCCGACAACACAACAACAACAACAACAACAAGATTCCATTTATAAAGCGCCTTTCACGTCAGGAGGACGTCCCAAGGCGCTGCACAGTTGGGTCATGACCCGAGCAGGGGGGAAATGGTCAGGGTGAGGGGAGGGAAGGGAGGGAGCGAGGAGGGGGAAGAGAGTCGAGTGGGGAGCTGAAGGCTCGGTCAAAGAGAAAGGTTTTGAGACCGGCCTTGAAGGAGGAAAGGGAGGAGCGGCGAAGGCACGGGGGATGGAGTTCCAGAGCCTGGGGGCTGAGAGGCTGAAGGCCCGACCACCGATGTTAGGGCGGTTGGGGCGGGGGACATGGAGCAGACCGGAGCCAGAGGAACGGAGGGTACGGGCAGGTAGGTAGGGGGATAGTAGGTCGGAGAGGTAGGAGGGAGCAAGGCCGTGAATGGCCTTGTAGGTGAGGATGAGGATCTTGAAATCAATCCTCTGGGGGATGGGGAGCCAGTGGAGGCGAGCGAGGGTTGGAGTGATGTGGTCCCAAAGCCTGGTGCGGGACAGTACACGAGCTGCAGAGTTCTGAATGACCTGCAGCTTGTGGAGGGAGGTGGCGGGAAGGCCGGCGAGGCAAACTCCCTGCTTGTCAGCCTCCCCAACTATTCGCTCCTCAGGCTGCAGATCATCCAGAACTCTGCAGCCCGTGTGCTCTCCCACACCAGGCTCTGCGATCCCATCAGCCCCAACCTCACCCGACTTCACTGGCTCCCCATCACTCAGAGGATACACTTCAAGATCCTGGTCCTCATCTTCAAAGCCCTCTACTGCTTTGCTGCTACATACCTCTGTGACCTCTTAACCCCCTACTAACCTGTTTGCTCCTTCCGCTCAGCCAGCTCCAGCCTGCTTCA